GTTCACTCTTGGTTTCCGGTCCACGTGCACCTCGCCATTTCTGTAAACCCCTCTTTTTGCATGTCAACCCTTGCCCAATGCCTTTGGTAAAGGCTGATGGCCAGAACTGGAACGAAGGACAAGCTAGGGAGATTACAGAGAGCTCAAACACGAGTGGAGGTTGGAATTTTCCAGGGAGCAATTTCCAATCAGGGCAGAGATGGAACGCTGAGAAGGGAGTTAGACTTCCCAGTCTGGGATGGGAATGAGTGATTGAATGGACTCCCCCTGTGCTGGGAATGAGCTCCGTTAGACTATCTTGTGCGATGAAGGTGGCAGGACAGAAGGGGAGACGGCACACAGTGCCCTCGGATTTGTAGGGTTCGAGAGCTGGGAGGTGATGCTGAACTTGTACAAGACACTTGTTAGATCTCAGCTGGAGTGTTGTGTAATGTCGTGGGCGTTGCATTATAGGGAAGATGTGAATGTATGGGGGGGGGGAGAGAAAGAGAGAGAGAGAGACAGAGACAGACTGAGACAGAGAAAGAAAACGAGGTATAGAGAGAGACTGAGACAGAGATGGAGAGAAAGAGAAAAAGAGAGACTAAGACCGAGAGATGGAGAGAGTGAGAGACAGAGAGACTGGGACAGACAGATAGAGAGACATAGACAGAGAGAGACATACAGAAAGAAAACGAGACGGAGACCGAGATGCAGAAATAGAGAAAGTGAAAGGTACAGAGACAGAGAGAGTGAGACAGAGAGATAGAAAGAAAGTGATAGAAAGAGTGAGACAGAGAGAGACAGACAGAGATACAGACTGATAGAGGAAAAGTGAGACAGAGAGAGAGAGGAGAAACAGAGAGGGAGGCAGAGTGATAGAGAGTGAGACAGACAGAGAGTGATACAAAAAGAGAGAAAGAAGGACACACCGAGCGAGAGAGAAGAAGCACTTTACTGCCCCAGGGATGAGAAACTCCAGGGATGAGGATTGTTTGATGAAGGTGGGGACTGTTCTCTGTGGGAGAAGAAGAATGCTGAGAGAGAGAGATTTTCAAAATCATGAGCAGTGGCAGGAGGGGGCTCGAATACAACTCCATCCCTCCTCAAGTAAAGGGGACCGAAACCCTACGCCGTGCTCTGGGTGCAGGAACACCAAATCCCTTTCTATTTAC